CCCTGACTGAATGCTTCTCTGTGCCCAGCACTATTTTAAAGTCTTTCCAGGTCTTAAGTACTCAGAACAGACTCAGTCACATAGATGCCTTAAGCAGTGGTTCTCAACCTTCTGGCCCTTTAAATACAGTTCCTCATGTTGTGACCCAACCATAAAATTATTTTCGTTGCTACTTCATAACTGTAATGTTGCTACTGTTATGAATCGTCATGTAAATATCTGATCTGCAGGATGGTCTTAGGCGACCCCTGTGAAAGGGTCGTTCGACCGCCAAAGGGGTCACGACCCACAGGTTGAGAACCGCTGCCTTAGAGCATTAGCTGTTGTTAATTTAATCTCAGGGCGGAGGTGGCTATCCCCGTTTTACAGATGAGGACACTGAGGCTCAGAGAGGCTAACTTGTTCATGGTCATTTAGCCGGGATCCACATTTAGGTACTGTGGCCTCAGAGCCCACTCCTAATTAGGATGTTCTGGGATATTCTTCATGATCGAAGAAGGGACAGTCCTGGCTCAGACCTTAATACCCTAGTAACAAGGTCTTTAACCTGCTTGGGGGCCTCAGACGAGTCTAAGAAACTCACGAAGGCTCCAGCCTTCTCCCCAGTTACCCCCACTCCTCCCTCCCGCAGTAAGATAGAGGGACATGAGACTGATCAGAGGGCAGACTGGGCAGTGGCCCTTTCCTGTCCAAAGTCCCTGTAGTGCGGCCTTTGGTTTTATTTACAGTTGCAGACACAGGGCAATACAACCCAGCGCCAGTGGGCACAGCCCTGAAATGGCCCAGCAGTGCTCCAGTGAAGAAACGCTATCCAGGGGGACTGAACGGGGCCACTCGCCACCCCCTCCCCACCGGTCCTGCCAAAGCCCTTGCTTGGCCTGCCCTCCCAGCACCAGATGCCCACCACACCTGGGCCCCACACCCTGTCCCTCCTGGGAGACACTGCCCAGTCCAACTTCTGCAGCCCCATAAGCTGCAGCCAAAGATGGAGCCACAGCGGACAGTGACCAAACCACCACAGATCTGACCGTGCCCCTTGGTTCCCGGGTGGAGGACAAGGAGGCAGCCTCGGAAAGGGAATAAACCAGTTAGAGTAGGCAGCTGTCCCGGGCTTTGGGGAACCAAAACTGCAACTTCTCCCTCAGCAGCACCATGACTGAACAAGGGCCGTGGGAGGAAACCTGAGAGCTCCATCTTCTCATGCTTGCCCAGTTTCCAGCCCGCCAGGTTCCGAGAAAGCAAGCTTTGAGAAGCCCACTTCCTTTTCCCTTTAGTGAGAGGTGCGAACAATTCCTGAGCAGCCAGAGCTGAGGGCTACTGAGCCGAATCGGTAGGAACCCTCTCCCAGGCAGCTGCCTAAGGGGGAACATCCTGAAATCACGGGCCTCTCTGACCTCAGCAGACGAATATTAGTTTATTGTTACAAGCTGGTTAATAAGCTCTGGCAGAAAGGAATTCTTACCCACAAGCCATGCCAATGTCATAAGACCCATTTCTGATGCCACCTGCAACAAAAGCATTTCATAAACATCCTCGGAGTCGTTCTGCTCTGGGAGCCGGGGCCTCTCCCCACCTGGTCTCTACGTGGGCCCCAGCCTCAGACTGGGAAGGCCCAGGAGTGCCCAGAAAAGCCTGGGGGTAGTGCAGGGGGCTCCTCCTCTTTCTGGGATGAGAATCCTCTCAGGCGTCCTCATTGCTTGCCCAGTAGATAGTGACTCCTGACCCAAATTCACAGAGCCAGGCCCAAGGCCAGGCTGTGGCAATGGGCACCCACCCAGTCAGTCACAACTTACCAGCGATGTTGGCCACTGCCTGGAGCCCGGAAGAACACTGTCTATTGACAGCGGACAAAGGCACCGTCTCTGGGATGTCACTGAAACAGAAGGTGAGGCCACCGTCAGCCTTCCCCCTCTCTAGGCCAGATCCCGACTGGGCAGACCCCATCTCTACAGGCACTTGTTCCCAGGGCTGTACAAGCAGA